CACACACACACACACACACACACACACACACACACACACGCCCACACACTCTCGCGTGTACACAGCATGCTTTTTTCTGTGGAGTTGTGTTTTTGGTTCACCAAACACTTATATACATTTTCTACTCTAAAATTGAATTTATCTCCAATTTTCCTTTTTTCTTCCAGTTCATGTTTCAAACAAATGAATCCAGTTTTCAGCCCTGTTTCAACCACCACCATGCTATCTTGTATTTGTTTGACCTAACATTGTAAAACACTCCCAGGTAGATTTGTCAAAAACGAATGTGATTTTTTTTTTTCAATTGAAAACAAAATCTCACTGCTTTGCACCTTTCTTTTTTCATCAATCAAATCAAAGGCTAAGTACACATAAAGGTAAATGTAATGTATTGGAATGGAAATAGTGCCCACGACAACACGCATACACCACTGTTACACATTCGTATGTGCTTGACTGGGGTTTGCACCGACGATCTGCTAGGATTGGGAGGTCTGTGTGAGCGAAGTCGTCGACCAAGCACTTCTCTCATGGCTATCTCTCACGGCTATCGCCAACTCCAGGCCACGTGTCCATCACTCAAATCCATCTTGGGCAGACTGTTGGGGGTTCAACCTCCTGGTAAACGGGTGAACCCTTTTCCACTAGGGTTGCAAGGGTGTGGAGTGAGCAAAGTCGACAGATTTGCTGAGGTGTAGTGAGTCCATTACTCAAATGCCTCTAGGGCAACCTGTTGAGGAACAGGGCTCTTGATGAGTGCCTTAAACTCGGCTGAATTTTTTCATTTTTTTTTGTGGAATCATCAAACAGTTTCGCACAGGCATGCTTTTTTGTTTTCGGTGTCCAGTAGTCTTATATCTAGCAAGAGAACGAACATGCGAACATTTCATTGAAAAATGAGTTTCAATGAAATGTATGCACATGCCTTAAGCCTGGCGCGGCTTCCTGATCGGAGTGAGAGTGGGCCTGGAAGTGCGAAAAGGGGGTGTGCCAAGGATTTTAGCAAAGTGGGGTTGGAGTCCCGGGTCGGAACTGAGATCTCCTTTACCAAGTTTCAGGGATATGAATGTAAGTGGGTAGGCGAGGGACGGGGTCCTATTTTATCCTTCGGGGAGTGGGGCAATCGCCTCCGTTGGTCCCACCGTCTGGGGCGGATCCGGATTCTGTGTACCGCAGGGACGCTATGGCTATCTTCTTGGTTCAGCACTCGTCGCTGACGAGTATCGCAGATCTCTGAATCGGATGCGGCTGGTCTCAGCTGAAGGCTGTGCTCCTGTCGTTCGGTTTTCGAGCGGGTTCGCCGGATGAAGCTCAATGCTCGATAGGTGTGGTCTTGCAGGCACTCGGAGCATGGGGGTTGGGGTCAGTAGGGAGCGAGGGCTTGCCAAGAGCCAATGGTTAGGCAGTGGAAAGACAATATACGGTGATAGGGTGGGAATTTGGTCTCCAGGATAGCAATGTCGGGTTCAGCGACGATCTGACACGTGTATGGGCGGGGATATTCAGGGAGGTGCGGAATACGATTCAAGGTCTGACCAATATCCCACTCGCAAATACTCTCAGTTCCCGTTGGGTATGGAAATTCCAAAGGCTCTACCCTCGATCGGACAGACACACATGCGTGCTCCCAATACTTCCGGAACTCGCAATCCCTCAGGCACTCGAGGTCCGTGATTCGGAAAGGGGTTTCAATATTCATGCCACATACATCCGGGGTGCTCGCCCGTGACAGGGAGAGGGAAGGAGGATCGGATCGGGGGCAGGTCCTGCAGACGTACGTCTACGTGACAACCTTCTTCGGTCGGGCGTACACGTGGGTGTACAAGATCTTCCGTCGGTCAGATGGGGGGATTGCCAGTAATTCACAATCTTGGGTACATGCACATCGACCAGTCGGCCCGAAGATGTCACTGACGAACTTAGCGTGAAACCGACATCTAATCAACTAGCATGCTCATCCCTATTACATCCAAACGGAAAAACGACAAAACTCATGCATCAAACTTTCAACTGCTTACTGACGAGTGAACATACAACATGTAATTCGTTAAAATAGGGCATTATATTGTGTCCTCTTTCTAACGAATTCATTTTCGGTTGCAGCCTAAGCATCGTAGGCATGCCCATCCTCTCTTCCGAAACAATTGTTTGGATGTTTGGTGAGATCCGGCTTTGTTTGGAAGTGAAACTATAGGCAGACTCATCCACTCGCCCGAAATGCGAAAATGTGTTGAGATCCATATTTGTTAAACTTTATAAATGTGATGAGCAATGTGTCATGATTGAATGCTTGTTGCCAGTTGTTGGATAATATATTTCTTTAGATTATCCCTAAGTTGTGCAGACATGCCCATCCTCTCGTCGGGGACGGTTGTTCGGATTTTTTTATGAGATCTGGACTTCTTTAGAAGGCTTAATGTAATGACACGCATGCCCATCCACTCGCCCGATATTCGGAAGTGTGCTGAGATCCATACTTGTTTATAATTGTGATGAGCACGGTGTCGTAATTGTATCCTTGTTGGATTATATATTTCTTTAGGTTATCCCTAAGTTGTGCAGACATGCCCATCCTCCGTCCGTGATGGTTGCTCGGATTTTTAATGAGATCCTAGACTTCTTTAAAAGACTGAATGAAATGATAGGTCAGATTTTTTATGAGATCCGGACATTTTTAGAAGACTTAATGTAATGATAGGCACGCCTATCCACTCACTCGATATGCGGAAGTGTGCTGAGATCTATACTTGTTTACAATTGTAATGAGCAAGGTGTCATGATTGTATCCTTGTTGGATACGAGTAGTAGTCGAGGTACAACTCAAAGATGTGCACCGTTCATCATGTAAGGACCATTTAATTTCAACATACATCATCCTTTCTGCGACAACACCTATCATATTACACAAGAAGTTAAAATTTTTCATATTTTTTTCGATCGAATTCGCACTTTAATTGGCCATGCACAAAAGTTTCGGATACGAACGCAAAGTTGTTGGTTACATGTATGTAGGCAGTCACAAAGCAACTGAATGTACTTGTCACATAAAAGACGTGATGTGAGCGATCTTTGCATAATGAACTGCACTCTCACGCACTCACCAGGATTTGTCATACATCCACACACCAATTTATCGTATCGCATAACAATTTCGGATATTATATGATGGCAATCATATGTACACGCAACATGAGAAACGACAGGTTTGTGACATAGATACCGTGAGGTACGTCAACCGTTTCCTCGGAATGCATAAAGATACCGAAAAAATTTTAACGGACAACGGGACGGAATTCCGAGGAGAAGTCTTGAGGAGCCTAGTCATACATGGCGTCTCTATTCGCAATACAGCTATGAATCCCCCTCGTCGACGGACAAGCGTGGCCAAGTCCGCGGCCGCGGCTGAGTCCGCGACCCCGCGGACGTGTCCGCGCGGCTGCATGATTTCGCGAACGCACGGCGGCCGATGGGGAGGGGGGTTGGGGATTCGGGAAGCGCCATGGGGCAGCGCAACCCCAACCCCACCCCCTTAAGCAAAAAAAAATAAAAGCAAAACAATTTTTGTGGGGGGGGGGTTGGGTGAGAGAAGGTATTTAAAAAAAAAAATTTGTTGATTGATTGATTGATTCATTGATTGATTGGCCCCACAGGCGCATACACACACACATAGGTAGGATTGTATATTTCCATGTTCTAGCGGAAGATTCATTCGATTT